GCCTCAGACCTGTATGTTCCTGCTGACAGTTCCAGATGTGCTGAATGCTAAGAGAGGAGTCTACACGGAGCTATGGGAGGATGGGGGGAAGTCATTAATTAAACTGAGAGAGGAAAAGGCTACATGTGAAGAATGAGAGAGGAGTGATGTGAGAGAAGGTTATTTCAGACAGAGGGAAGAGCATGCATGAGCAAAGATATGCAACCTAGCTCACACAGAACCTCTGGCTCAGAAGAAATCTTAGAGACCAGCTCTTTACGTAGTTTTAAAAATTCCTTATATAATATCCCAGAGAGATGATAATTCAACTGCTGGAACATTTCCAGTGAGAGGAAACATTACCTCATGAGACAAAAAAGGTTTGGCTCTAACCTTTTCAGTTGGTGTTGCATGGTGTCTAGGGGTCTGTCAGATTCTATCTCTTCATTGTCGCTGAATAACAGGCATAGTAATATTTGGTCTTTAACTTCCTCTCCAGGGAATAAGAAAATGTCATGTGCTTTAGGACCTTTGACTTATAGAATGTTACAGCTGGGAGGGACCTCAGAGATCATTTAGTCCAGTGGTTTTTATCTTTTTATGTGTGACTCATGGATCCCCTTTGAGAATATGATAAAAAAATCTAAATGCATATGTGCTCCTGGCACGCAAGATGCTGCATACAGTTTCAGGGTATTCATGGAGCCCCGAAGCCCATCCTGGATTAAGACACTTTCTTTTCATGTTACTGATGAAAAACTGAGGTTCAGAAAAATGGAATGGCATGAAGTAGAACCACGGAAGAAACTGCCCACTGGTCAGATGCCTTTGTGAGCAGAGGACTCGGCCACATGGGCCAACCCTGAAGCGAGGTGCTGACAAAGGGGTGGTGTTCAGCAGAGCAGGCTGCACTGGGGTCAGTTATAAAGCAAAAAGGAGACCTGCGGTAGGAGTGGGAGTGCCATGAGCACTGCCTTTAAACATCTGAAAGGTGGTTTATGGAGAAAGATTTAGACTTTTCTCTTTGGTTTCAAGGAGTAGCTTCAAGACCAAAAGGTAGAAAATAACTTGCCAGACAGAATCCTCCACAAATGGAATGTGCTATCTTCAGAGGTACAGAATTCCCTGTTACTTGACTTATTTAAGGACACAAACAACCTTTTGTAGAAGGGACTTAAGCATCACAAAAGTTCGAATTGGATGACCAACACGGGACTTGATTATGTAACTCTAAGAGACACACTCAGTCACATACACTAGCCAGAAAGCAGCTCAGGTTTCCCAGAGAGCATGGCAAGTGAAGAAGTGAAGAACGTCCAGGATGGCTGAGACATCAAGCGCGGAGGGGTGGGAGGGTCGTGGTAGTAGAGAGAAATAAGGCTTGGAAATATAATTGCAAGTAAATGTTGAAGGTCTTACCTGGCATCATGGCTGGTATTCAAGAATGATGGCCCACATAGAGTGGTGGCACAGAGGAATGAAAACAAAAGGACATAAAGGACTTTCAAATGAAGAATTAACCCAATCTGTGGTGACAGCAAGGAGATAAGTGATGAGACAGGTTGTGGTGATGAGCTATAGGTTTCACATAGTCTGAAGTGATAGTGACAGCAAACGGAAATGTCCAGTGGTCTAAGTGGTGGCAAGTGGCAAAAGCAGCAAAGTGGAGATGCCCAGTAGGCCACTGAAGATATGGTTTCCAGGAGGCCAGGATGTGAGACAAATTAAGGGGTTATCTATAGAGTTGAACTAATCTAAATTTTAAGAGCGGATACATTTTCCAGAGAAAAAAGTATAGCATGAGTAGAAGTCTAAGGAGTTTGCCTTTGGGGCTGATTTCAGTGTGGAGATGGTATAATTAAAAAGCCCTGAGAGGGAAGAGTCAGAGAGTTAGAGGAGATCTGAGATTAGAGTGAAATAAGAACCCGACAGAAAGGAAGCTTCAAGGAAGAAGGAAGAAGGCTGATCAGCATAAACATGGTCTTATTTTAGTGTGCATTCAGCTGTATGATTTGGCAGGAAAATTATAGTAATGTTCATTTTGGCAACAACATACATAGTGCAGCATGAGTTATAAAGTGCTCTTAAATGGATTATGGCTATTTCTTAAATAGTATTTTCTAAAATACCTGCCTAAGAAAACATGACTACAACTTTTCTCTCTCCCAGTTTCTCTATCAGTAAATTAGAAATCACTTCAAGTTGCGCAAGTTCCTTTTACCTCCTCACTTTAAGGAAGGTGATTTCTGCCCTCCTAGAGTGATAAACTGGGGAAGAGACATTGAGGGAACGTGACGTGCCCAGGCCCCCTCAGTCAACGATGCAGCAGCAGCAAGGACCGAGTTTACTATTCTGATTTTTGTTCCTTAAAGCAAAAACTGAAAGCAAAATTAAACACTGACTCAGATTTTAAGAAATAACTTTTAAGAAATAAAATTAAAACAAATTCAATCAGTTTCTCCACCATTTAAATATTTCTCCTGGGGATCTATACTACAGTGATTGTAGGAAGCCATGGTTAAACTGTAAGAAATTTATTTATTTCTAATAATAACATTCAATAAAGGAAAGATTGTAACTGAGTAAAGTAAAAGAGATTACAGTTTTTGAATTTTGGCAATTTAAAAATACTGTCACAAGTAAGCACAGCTCCCACTTAAAAGGGCTTTTAAAAATTAACTTCAGAAACCAAGAACAAAGAGGCCCTATCTTCCACAGCAGTGAAACAAACTAGGGTAACAACTAGAGAGGGAGTTGGACTAGATGTTTCCTAGATCCCTTTGTTGTTTCATATTCTTTGCTCTGGGAATCACAAAAGAAAAAAAAATATGTAAACCACTGTGCTATTTAAGCATGTCAATATTTTAACCCCTTCCCCTGTATAGGAAATCTTCTCACACATAGGTTCTTAGTTGCCAGCTCTAAGTTGACCCCATAGTATGCCAGTCCAAACTCTTAGGCCCAGGCATAAGACCTCGGGCAGCACCAAAGGCAAAGGAGAGGAAGGAGGGTCTGCAGATCACTAACGACAAAGACTCGGGGGTTTCTGCAGAACTGGAGGTACCTAGAAATCAACTAGAGAGCTGCCTAGAAATCCACTGGTCTAATCTGTCATATTTTCCAGACGAAGAAATTAAGGCTCAAAGAGAAATGCCGTGTTCAAATCATCACAAGTAAGTATCAGAGGCTGGGTTTGAATCCAGGTCACTTTCTACTCTACCACAACCTTCTATTCTCCTGGAAAGGGAAAGGAGCACTCCAGGGCCCCCTCTCTCTAATAATGAGGTGGAATGTGTTTGGATTAATACATTCCTTTTTGGGGACACATAAAGGCAGTCACGTTGCCTTTGTAGAGCCCCATCTCATATTCAGGTAGATACAACTTCAAATTCTATTAACAGATTCTCACACATTAAATTGGAATTTATGGAAATATCAGCAAAAGGAAACAGAACATTATATCCCTTGCAGAGAATATTTACTTGCAACTCAGGATAATCTGTCATGTGCATTACCTACTCAGTGTTGTCACTCACATGCAGAGAAATTTTATAAGAAGGCTGGAAAAAGAGATGTGAAAAGGCTTTTAGGTTAACACTAGATTCTTTGGCAACAGTGAAGAGAGTCTCATTAAGAGAAGAGTACAGTGGCCAGGCATGGTGGCTTACACCTGTAATCCTAGCACTCTGGGAGGCTGAGGTGGGAGGTCTGCTTGAGGCAAGGAGTTAGAGAGACCACCTGAGCAAAGGTGAGACCCCATCTCTACAAAAAAATAGAGAACTTAGCCAGGCGTGGTGGTGTGCGCCTATAGTCCCAGCTACCTGGGAGGCTGGGGCAGGAGGATCACTTGAGCCCAGAAGTTTGAGGTTGCAGCGAGCTATGATGATGCCACTACACTCTAGCTAGGACAACAGAGCAAGACTTTGTCTCCAAAAAAAAAGAAGAGTACAAGATAATATTTCCTACTATGCTATCTATTTCAGTAGTTTCAGAGTCACAGAAAATGCTGTGTTTCTGTCAATCTTATCTACTGAAGGCTGACATTATGGTTAGCATTCCAGTGCTAATGGTATTTAACTTCTCACTAGAATCATTTATCTTGCCTCTTATTATTACTCCTAATGGTTATTTATTTACACTATGCTTTCCCCTTATAGGCAAGATGTGGAAGGATTTAAGAGTTGGAAGAACTCTAGATTTGGAAACATTCATGATATAGTCAAGAAGTTATCCTTCAAGGCTCTGCATGTCCACATGTTTACCATCAGAGGTTTTGTATCTGTATTTGCTAATACAATACACTGCTGCTACTTAAAATACTTTATTTTCCCAACACAGGTATCAAAGAAAAAGCAAACTAAAGCATAATATAAAACCAATCATTTATGTGAAATAATCACAATGTGTAATAGGCATAAATGGTTATTTGGTATATTTTATATCATTGTTCCAAAAAATGTGAAGTCCCTGAAGTGGGGATTTTGCTTTTTTTAGCCATTTTCTCCCTAGGCTTTAGCCAAGGGTTTTGTTATGTATAGTAGGCATTCAATCACTATTTCTGGAATAAATTATTTAGTACAGATTTATTAAGAAATGAGGGGAGGAGAGCAAGTTATTTATACAAGTTGGTTGCTTTCATCAAATAAAAACTAGACTTAGATTGGTCTAGTGAAAGTAGGTTAGATATTGGCATAAGTTACTTTCGGAAAGGCAGGAAAAATGAGAAGAGTGGTTATCTCTTAGCTTACTATAGGTAGCAATACACCCCTCCCACCCCCGACTCCCTGCCATGCACCGATCTAGAGAAACAGCCACCAAGGAAAGGTTAGGCCTTCATTCTTCACGGCAGCCTCAGTCCCCAGGAGATGAAGTGCTGAGCAGAAGGGGAGAGGTGACCCGGGTATAGGGAGCAAAAATAATTCAGTTTCTTTCCTCTTTCCCTCTGCGACCACCCCCACCCCCCACCCCCTTCCACCCTGACTCTGAGTGGTAAGAACACAATCTCCACAGCTCAAACTTACTTGGCAGCTGCATCTTTTCTCAACTGTTCATGCTTCATGAGGAGATTTTTCCGGTCTCGGAAAGCTTTTCTGACCTTGTACCCTTTGTAGACAGCTTGGATTTTGAAGGCAGCAATGTCTTGTATGGCTGCGATGGACAGGGCGCCGTGCTCCAACATGAACTGGATAACTTCATGGCGCTCACCAAGCAAAGCATAATCAAGGGGTGTGTACCTAAAGCAGCAGGAAGATTTTTTTTTTTCTTAAGTTTTGGAATGTAATTCAACGCATAGTTAAACTGGCAATATTATTATGCGACAGAAGGAAACTTCATTCTAAGTTGTGGAATATTCCCCAGGCAAAGCCATCTTCTCAATATCAGGGCTGTTCCTTTTTTCTCTGACAGGCACAAAACAAGGTTGAATACAGCTGGGGGTCAAGCACTTTGTTCTGCTAACCATGTCAATTCCTGAGTTTTGCTCCCTGGCTCACAAATTGGGGGCTATTGGGAACATGTGATCACTTTCCTTCTTCCCCATGTGTCAAATAATTCCCTATGTCTATCTGAAAAAGTACTGCAAATAATGTTCTGTGAGATTGATAAGTTTGAGCCCATGATTTACTGATACTTAATGCTTATGAAATAGAAAATATGCCTCTAAATGAAGAGAGTTAGTATATGATAAGGATGGCCCTTTAAATCACTGCAGAAAAGATGGATTATTAAATAGTGTTGGGACAACCATGTCTGTAATCCTAGAACTTTTGGAGGCCAAGGCAGGAGGATCACTTGAGGGCAGGAATTCAAGGCCAGCCTGAGCAAGAGCAAGACCCCCGTCTCTGTGAAAAACAGAAAATTTAGCTGGGTGTGGTGGTGCACGCCTGTAATCCCAGCTACTCAGGAGGCTGAGGCAGGAGAATCGCTTGAGCCCAGGAGTTTGAGGTTGTAGTGAGCTATGATCACATTGCTGCACTCTAGCTGGTGTGACAGAGCAAGACCCTGTCTCAAAAAAACAAAACAGACAAGAAACAAAGATAATAGATAGTTCCCAGAACAGTAAATACTAATGGCTCGTAAACAAAAATATGTTCAACCTCACTCATTTAAGAGAAATACAAATTAAGACTAACATGAGAGAGTATTTTTCACTGATTATCAGATTAGCAAAGATCAGAAAGGTTAGTAACACACTGCACTGGCAAGGACAGAGGAAGATAAGCTCTCTCATATACTACTTTTACCTTTAGGAAGGACAATTTGATAATATCGACAAAAATTATTCATGTATATGCACACTCAAGTAGCTGTTTCACTTATGGGCATTTATCCTATAGATCTGCTCTCTCGTACGAAATGCTTTAAGTACAAGGATACTCATAGAGGCACAGTTTGTCATTGCAAAAGAATGGAAACAACTTCAATATCCATCAACAGAGGACTGGTTAAATAAAGCATAGGCCATCAGTATAATGAAGTCACCTGTTTAAGGCAGCCATTACTGTTGTATGTGAATAAATAAGGAACAATTTCCAGGATTTCTTGTTAAATGAAGAAAAAAAAGTAAGAAACAGAGCAGTTATTATGGCATGTTCCGTTTGTATAAAAAAGAATATATCCTTATATGCTTATCTATGGAAAAATATGTCCAGAAGTTTCCCAAGGAACTAGAACAGTGAAGCCTCTGGGTAGGAAACTGGTCGTCTCAGAGGCAGGGGTAGAAGGGACATTTAGTGTTCACGGAATGCCCTTTGAAATTTTGTTCAGTGCGCATACATCACCTTTTTGATAAATATATTATTTAGAAAAGATGGGTATTATTGTCATATGTTTTAATCTCAATTGGCTCCTTTCTACATGTGCGATTTTAGGCAAATTCCTTTTTGAATTATCTTTTTTATTTTTGAAAATACAAAAAGTTGGATAAACAGAAGAAAATAACTATCAGTATAAAATACTCCCACTCTCAGAACAAACCACTGTTAATATCTTGGCAGATATGGTTTCTTTTTTTCCAAAGAAAACTGACTATTTTGTAAAAATGGTATTTTAAGAATTCAAACTTTGTAAAAAAGTACAAAAATTGAAGCAAAAAAAAAAATCCCCCCAATTCTATCACCCAACAGTGGGAGTGATGACTGTCACTTCTTAAACAATTTACTTGATGTTTCTAAGCCCCAGCTTTCCTCATCTTTTACAGAGATGATACTGCACATTCCATTGGCATGTGGAGACAATGGAATATACATGTAAAGAGGACGGCCGTGTGCCGGGCACACAGCAAGCAGTTGATAAACATCAGCATCGCTGCTTGGTTTGTGACACCATAGTTGCTTACCATAAATATTATTTCCACAGGACCAAGCTATTGTTTATGACCACCTAATGACTGCCACTGATGCCAATTCCTCTTGGGTGACTGTGACTAGTCCAGTGAAATCAGAGGTGTTAGGGGAAAATAATCAGGTGATTTATGAGGTGGAAAAAATGATGATTATATGGATGCATGATTAAACACAGAAAATCATCCAATGATTACAGAAAAGAAATGATCTCTCTTTAAAACTCACCTAACAGTCACATTAAGGACAAAGGAAGAGGCTTCCAGGCTAAGGGGGGTTTGGTCACTTGAGTAAGAAAACCATGAGTTTGGGAGGAAGCCCCAAATGCTGACATTAAAGAACCCCCATATTAGGACAGCTCAATTTGCCACTACTGTTCAGGAACCAGAGTTATAAGTAGAGGTACCTATATAAACTTTAAAACATTGTAAGTAGGTAGCATTTTGTAAATTTAGAAGAATTAAAAAAAAAACTTACTATATATTCTATAATACCTTTCATGACTGTACTTTTCTCTAATGGAAAAATTATCATAGAGTCATCAAACAACACAATAGTGGAGTTAAATTGAATTTTAGAGGTCATTTAGTTCAATATCTTCATTTTACAAATAAATAAGCAGACCCAGAAAGGTTAAGCAACTTGCCAAAGGTTATGTATTTAGGTTATTAAATATGGAATGTCCGATTTCCTTAAGTACTAAGTTTGACGGTTATTACCTCTGACATTTCACTTTGACACTTTTTTTGTTTTATTGTGAAGGTACATCCTCAGTCTTTCAAATGTATGGTTTGGCTTATGATTATCTTACAAATTTTTTTTAGAGCAATTTTTGTGAAATCATAGATAAGTCAAAAATTCATGTTTTTTAATATGCGTTCCATTGTGGAACCAATGCAGAGCAGACAGCTCGAAACATTAACGAAGTATTTGCTAAGGACGTGGCTAACGAACACACAGTATGTCGATGGTTTGAGAAGTTCCGTTCTGGTGATTTTAATCTTGAAAATGAGCCACACAGGTGACCTGAGACCAAGGTGGATAATGATGAGCTGAAAGCTGTAGTGGAAGCAAATCCATCTCAACCTATGCGTGAAGTAGCAGCAAGGTTTGACATTACTATTCCAACAATGTTGAACCATTTGAAACAAATGTGCAAGGCAAAAACACTATATAGATGGGTTCTGTGTGAATTAAACGAGCGTCAGAAAAGAAATCGTCTCGAAGCTTGCCTTTCTTTGCTGTCACAACATATAGGTGAATCATTTCTACACCATATTGTTGCATGTGATGACAAATGAATTCTTTTTGACTATCACAAGCATTTGGCACAATGGTTGGATAAAGATGAAGTGCCGAAACACAGTCCAAAACCTAATATTCATCAAAAAAAGCTAATGGTGTCTGTCTGGGTGGTCCAGCACTGGTATTACCCACTACAACTTCGTGAAACCTGGTCAGTTGATTACCGTGGATGTCTACGGCAACCAACTGGACGAAATGATGAGAATATTTGTGATTAAGCAGAGGAGATTGGTCAACAGAGACAGGCCAATCCTCTTGCAAGACCACATGTCACAAAAAACAATGCTGCTGAAAGTACACAAGCTGGATTTGGAAACTCTGTCATTCATTGTATTTACTAGACCTTGCACCAACTGACTACTACTTCTTCCAGGCTTTGGACCACTTCTTGCAAGGAAAAGTATTCAATTGTCAACAAGCTGTGGAAAACATCTTTGGTGATTTCATTGCCACTCACTCTACAGGCTTCTTGGCTGCTGGCATAAACAAGCTACTGTTAAGATGGCAAAACTGTGTCGACAGTTTAGGCACATACTTTGACTAACTGTACTGCTTCCTGTTTGAGATATAATAAACAAAACTTTTGATTTGAAATCAGACATTTCATATTTAATGACTTATAACTAGTGTCTACAGAATGTAGACTAGAACTAAGATCCCATTTTCCAGTTCTGTAATTCTTCTACAACACATGTATCAATTATTGAATATGTTTCCCACAAAATAAAACCGTTTCTAAAATCAATATGCAAATGACATATATATTTAGTAAGCTTGATAATTTTTTCTATAGCTATTAATGCATAGTGTCTTTTCCATAGTATATAAGCAGGATTATCAAAACTCTTGTTTATGACATTTAAGGCCCAAACTATGCCTTTACCTACAAATATGACAAAAGGAATAACACGTTGCATATTATACCCTAAAGAATGCTGGACTGCGAGTCAGAGGACCTATGTGGCCCTGGGAATTCTCTTAACTTCCCTGAGTTTCTGTTTCCTCATCTGTAAAAGTGGTAAAGAAGAAGGGAAGAATTAGATCTCTCAGGCTGCTTCTGGGCTGAAAACTATATTGTAATTTTTTTATTATAAAAAACCTATTTTTATTATGAGAAACTTCAAGCATTAAAAAGTAGAGAGAGCTGGAAGCAGTGGCTCATGCCTGTAATCCTAGCACTCTGGGAGGCTGAGGCAGGAGGATCGCTTGAGGTCAGGAGTTTGAGACCAGCCTGAGCAAGAGCAAGACCCCATCTCTATAAAAAATAGAAAAAATAAGTCAGACGAGTGTGGTAGCGCACGTCTGTAGTCCCAGTGACTGAGGGGTGGGGGAGGATAGCTTCAGCCCAGGAGTTTGAGGTTGCAGTGAGCTATGATGATGCCACAGCACTCTAGCCTGGGGAGACAGACCAAGACTCTATCTCCAAAAAAAAGAAAAAAAGTAGAGAGAATATCATAATAATCCTCTTATATACTCATCACTCAAATTTAACAATTTTTTGCTACATTTGCTTCACCCAACATCTTTCTTTTTATCTTTGCTATTTTACAGCAAATCTCTGAACGCCTATCATTTCATCTTTATGCATTTCAGTATTCATCTATAAATATTATGAGCATAGTCACAATGTCATTATTATACTAACAAAATTAACAAGAATTTCTTAGTAAAATCTAGTGTCCGCTTTATAATAAAATTCCCTGAACTTTCTCAAAATTTTTTTTTACAGTTGGTTTATTCAAATTAGGATTATTAGTCAATTTTTTATTCAAATAGACAAAATCCAAACATCTAGCAAGGTTTTAAGATTGAAGTGCATATCTAGTGTTTAAGAAACTGACCGCATGTGATTGTTACTACTCAATCTTTCTCCAACCCAAGTTCAATTTAGAAACATTCGAGTACTGTGAATATTCCTGTCGATGTTAGAGTGGGCCTGTCAGATAGTTATTGACTGAAAGTCGGCAGAAGTTGCCAAAAATTATGTCTATACAGCAGACATCAACTGGTTAGTGTTAATGCCTGAGAAGTAAAAATTAGCACAACCGTGATGGTAACCAGCCAAGAAACAATGCAGACAAAGACAAAAGATAAGATGCAATTGGACTTGCCATGTGGGAATGGTCTGACGGGATGAGCAGAATGCCTAAACTGGAATGTCAATAAACATAAAGGGCAGTGCCAAGTCCTGACATTTGTACATCGAGGTGCATTGTTGATGAAACATTAAGGAAGACTGGAATATTGTCACTGTCACTTTTTATCTATAGATTGGCAGTGCAGTTAGGTGGATTTCCTTTGGTCTTTTTGTCTACAATTAACATATGTTTATTGCAAAAAGCAGTAAACACCTTACTTAGGTCTGAAATTGACGGCTTAGCATAAATATGGGAATTGAATTACCAAAAAATTTTTCTATTGTTTTCTTAAAAAATAGCAGTTAGACTGTTAATGCTGTTATATAAAATAAGTTCTTTATAGAAACAAATGATACTAATTCTTAGGATTCTTAATCTTGATCTCCTGCTTTTTTTTTTCCAAGTTTCAAAGGAAGACATCTCCAGCTCTCTCACTGATGAGAAAAGGTTCTGAAAGAAGTGGGGAAGAGGTTGGTCCTATGAAGGAGGAAGGTGTTTCCTCTGAGACAGCTGACCTAGAGAAGTCACTCCTTTTCTATAAATTTTCCCATCTGCTAATAGAAAGGGATAGTGTCATAGCAGGGGCCACTTTAGAGCATCCATAAACAATAAAAACCAACATGCAGGGGGGGCAAGGGCAACATACGTAACCTAAACATCTGTACCCCCATAATATGCTGAAATAAAAAAAAAAATGCAAAAAAAAAAAAAAAAGTCAAAAAAAAAAAAAAACCCAACACACAGACCTGGACCAGAGGGAGCTCAGGTATGAAAGTCTGATCACAAACTTAGTTGTTAACTACAAATTACTAAAAAAAATCTTCCTGGATCCAACACCACCAAGAATCTCTCTTGCTTAGACCTCACATTGTGTCTGGCCATTTTTATTGGACCTGGTTCTTCGGCAACAATCATAGCATACCTCTGTGGACCCTATATTATTTAAGAAACCTGTGTTTAGATTAAACCCTGAACTTTCACTTTAGCTTCTCCTTATGTTTTCATGCTACATGGTGGCAACTCTTTTTTTTTTTAATTTTTTTTTTTATTTCAGGGTATTATGAGGGTACAAACATTATGGTTACACTTTATGTCTTTGCCTCACCCAAGCGAGGGTTAAAGGCATGCCCTTCCCCCCTACAATGCTCCCCGTGTCCTTTAGTTGCGGGTTTACCCCCCTATCCCCCTAATTCCTGGAGAGTATTACTGCCATGTGATCATTTGGTATATATATACAATGGAATATTAATCATAAGAAACGACAGTGATCTAGAACCTCTTATACTTTCCTGGATTAAACTTAAGCCCATTATCCAAAGTGAGGCACCACAAGATCAGAAGAATGGGATCCACTTGTACTCGCCATCAAATTGGTACCAACTGATCAACACTAGGGTGATCAGGTGGCAACTCTTTTTCACTAACTGATTAATATCCTCTCCAACAAGAGAAACCTCTTGAATATAGCACATTCTCTGGCCTAACTGAATTCTTGGTCCTGGTCAGTCAGGACTTCACTGACCTTATTCTAGCCACAAGCCAGAAAAGGCCTAAAGTTTCCTCACTGCAAAATATGAGCTTGCCTTTGGTAATATCTAAAGTTCTGAATAGTTATAAGTCCCATGAATCTAAATCAACATTGCAAGGGACTTTTGCTTATTGCTTCTGGTTCAGAATTGATTAATGTAGCATTTCCATATGAGTATACTTATTATTTATGATCCAATATTTAAACTTGAGATTTTTTCGATCTAGCAGACAGGATGTGAGATGAACATTATTATGCTCTTTTGTATCATAGCTTACCTCTCTTCATTGTTTTCCATCTGATTAGGGAAAGCAGCAAAGTCTAGTAGTAATTTAATAGCATCAAGGTATCCGTTGTTACAGGACCAGTGCAAAGCTGTTCTTCCCTACAGGCATGAACAAAAATCAAGTACATCTGGAGTAAGTATTTTTGGACACATGGTTATTTATGCTAACTCAACAATATAAGCAATTCCTTCCTCAAATTAATTACAAAAGGGAAAACGTTAAGTATATAGTGGAGAAAACGAATGGCATCTTAACCAAGTGAGCATAATTCACACTATGTTAAGAGGTATCATATGTGTCCAGAGGTGATACCCTGAGAAGGATTCAGTATCACTTATGTAATATCCTAACCAAAAACATGAAACATGAAGCTAATTAGGACAAAACATAAGACAAACCCAAATTGAGTCAAATTCTATAAAATAAATGGCCTGATTCTTAAAAATGTTCAGTCATAAAAGAAAAAAAATGATGAAACATTGCTAAAGAGGGATATTTCATAGGGTTAAAGGAGTTAAAGAGAAAAATATCACAATCCTAAATCTGTATGCATCTAATAACACAGCTTATAAATATACAGGACAAAAATTGACAAAATTTAAAGGGAGACAGTCAAATCCATAATCATAGTGGGAGAGTTTAACCCATCTTTTATAATAGTTGATAGAACAAACAAAAGAGCAGCAGAGATAAAGAAGACCTAAAGAACACAATTCTGTGCCCTATCCCGCAATGGCAGAATTAGTACTCTTTTCAAACGTACACAGTACATTTACCAAAATCAATCATATGCTAGACCATAAAGAAAGTCTCAGAAAAATAATGCGCTCCCCTGCAAAGATGTCCACATCCTAATCCCTGGTACCTGTGAATATGTTATGTTACATGGACTAGAGGCGTGAGCCACCGCGCCCAGCCTAAGACTTTAAAAATACATGGCTGCAGGGGCGTTATCAGTAAATCCTTGCAAACATTAAACAGGCCAGTGTTCACGTATCCCTGACTGCGTGTAGACACCAGCAGTCACCTCTGCTCCTGATGACAGATGCCCCCAACAGTTCTTCAACACAGCCAAACTTTCCGCCACCACCCTCAGGCCTCCCCAGGACCTTCCCGGGGCAGAACCTGTTTCTTTCTTCGTTTACTGACTCGCCTGTTTTGCTGGAGTGCATCTTCCAGAACACTAAGCTAATCAGTGAAAACCTCGAAGGCCCGAAACACCTTGATTCTTCCTCTCGCTTGACACACACTCAGGGATCCGGCAACACCTTCCCTGGCAACAGACGTGTTCTCCCTCCTAATCCTTTGGAATGTGACCTGGAAGCATTTAGGGGTCCCTGGATCCCAGACATGTGTCCCCAGCACAAGCTGCAGGGTCCTAGCTCATTGGAGACTCTGGTCCCACGGTCCTGGGCGTCTCCTCCTATTATTTCTTTGACAACTTCCTTCCATTTTCCTCTGTCCCACGTGGAATCTGTTTCCTCTTTTCCTCTTGCAGTTCCCAGCTCTGGTCTTTTTGCTTCACTTTGTTCTAGGAGATTTCCTCTGCCTTGAATCTTCCTGTGTTTTGAGCTCCCAAGCCCTGTCTCGTTCCAGACTTCTGTTGGCCGGACACCTGGGTGCTGAGCTGCCAGACCCACCTGCCCCGCTCACGACCCCCGGTGTCCCAGTGTTGCCAGGTGGCAGCGGTGGGCTGGGGTGAGCTGGGCTGGGTGCCATGCCCCCGCAGGCCTCTCTGTAGTCCAGTTTCCTCGCCCAGCAGAGGGAAGTAGAGTTGAGTTGGGGCTGGAAGGAGAAAGGAGCAGGCCCAGGACACAAGCCACCCAGCACCTGGCTTGTGTGAACACTGCTTCACAGGGACTAACCGCGGGCTCAGGGGCGCGTGAATATCCACAAAGGTGCGTCCCGAGGCAAGCCCCTCTCTGGCCTCAGTTTCCCCATCTGTCACCACCAACAGCCCTGATGTTGCTCTTCCTTTCTCTTCCCTGTGTCCCAGCCCTTCTCCCACCCTGAGCCCCTGCATGTGGATGTCTCAGCACTCATCACGGAATCTGTATGCTTCCCTCGGTGCCAGCACGCAGGCAGCCCACGCACCAGGTCACCACCTGCAAAGGCCTGGTACTGAGTGCTCTCAGGTGCACGGCTCGGGGGGCCCTAGGGGGACTTGAGGAGGTCACGCCTGGCCTCAGGCCTTGAATACCAGCTAAGGTGGAGGTTTCTGCTCTGCAGGGAAACAAGGTCAAGGCCTATGGCTGGAACCCAGAGAGGGCAGGGGCCCATCAATCCCACACTATGTGTTTCCTGGGAGCCCAGTGGAGCCCAGCAGATATGGAACTGCCCTGCCAGAGCTCAGTCCCATGGGGAGACAACCAGGCATCTGTTATTACAAAGCAATTAACAATTCCAGGCAGCCAGGCGTGGTGGCACAGGTCTGTCTGTCATCCCAGCTACTCCGGAGGCTCAGGCAGGAGGATCACTTGAGCCCAAGCTCTGGGCTGTCATGTGCTGTGCCGAGCAGATGTCTGCACTGACTTCGGGGTTGATATGGTGAACCCCGGGAGCGAGGGACCACCAGGCTACCCAGGGAGGAGTGACCTGCCCCAGGTTGGAACCGGAGCAGGTCAAAACTCCCTTGTTGATCAGGGGTGGGATTGCATCTGTGAATAGCCACTGCACTCCAGCCTGGGCAACATAGCCAGACCTTAGCTCTGCGGCTGCGCCCACGTGCTAGCGCACCGATCCTGGCCCTGGTGCTGGGGGCGGGGCAGGATCCGGGCCAGGTGACCGCCCGCGGCCCCGCCCTGCTCGCCCCCTGATCTCTTCATTTTGATAAACTGTGGTTTTACTTAAGTTTACAACAAAGAAGAAATACTCTAAACACTTTCAAGCAAACTTCATATAGAAAAGACTCAGAATTCCTACCTCTTTGTCTTGAATGTTAGGGTCTGCATTATTTTCCATGAGAACTGCCATGCAGTTGATATATCCTCCATATGCAGCACACTGCAAAGGGGTTCTTCCTGCATAATCTTGCACATTGGGATTGATCTTATTTTCTATCAATATCTGACAAACATCAGCATTTCCTCCCAGCGCTGCCCAATGTAGAAGAGAATGTCCATCTTGGTCAACTAGATCTACCCTTGCTCCACCTGGAAAAGCAAAAATATAATGAAAATGTCTAATATAGATAGCATTTATCAAAAAGAATACAAGTTAAAAAAGCAGTCCCTTAAATCTGTGATCCCCAACCTCTGGGCTGTGAACTGGTACCGGTCCGTGGCCTGTTAGGAACCGGGCCACACAGCAGGAGGTAAACTGCGGGTGAGTGAGTGAAACTTCATCTGTATTTACAGCGGCTCCCCATCTCTCACATCACCGCCTGAGCTCTGCCTCCTGTCAGATTAGCAGTGGCATTAGTTGCAGGAAAACAAGGTCAGGGCTCCCACTGATTCTGCATTATGTTGAGTTGTATATTTCATTATATATTACAATGTAATAATAATAGAAATAAAGTGCACAATAAATGTAATGTTCTTGAATCATCCTGAAACCATCCCCCCCAGGTCTGTGGAAAACCTGTCTTCCATGAAACCAGTCCCTGGTGCCAAAAAGGTTGGGGACTGCTGCCTTAAATACTTTGCTCTTATCAAATGCTTCCACATACATTGTCTACTTCAGATTTTTACAATAAGCCTGTAAATTGGTCAGGGTAGGAATCACTCCCCTTTACATAAAATGAAACAGGATCAGGCAGGTAAAATGACTGTTCTAAAATCAACTCCCAGAAACTGGAGCTAGGAGTAGAGCTCGAAGTTCCTGATGCCAGGTTGGATGCTCTTCCCTTCATCCTTCTACCCATGTGGCTCTTTGCTATGTAAAGCTTTATTTCTAACAGAGCATGCAAGAATTCCTACCTTTTGAGAGTGAGTAGTTAGGGGTACTCTTATTAACTGACCTTTAATAAGTGTCTGAATCACGTCTTTGTGTCCCATCTCACAGGCTCGGAAAAGTGGAGTATGTTTCATGACATCAGTAGCGTCTACTTGAGCGTTATTTTCCAATAATAACTTCACTGTGCTGACATGGCCAGAAAGAGCAGCAGCATGTAAAGCTGAAAAGGAAGCAAAAGGAAGTGACAAACTCCTTATAACAACTTTCCCTTTTTATGATTCTAACTACGTATCTTTTCCTCTCTTGATTTCCTCATTATTTTGGCTAAAAGCAACCTCAGTCTTAAGGATCCTCTAGGTTATTTTTCACTTTTATAGGTTTCTACCTTCCTTCCTACTCATACGTATTAATATTAGTCGCACTTCCTACCTTTCCTTCTACCTTTCTCTTCTTGCTGTTTTCTTCCTTTCCATCCTGTTGGTCTCAGTTACTAGTTTATTATTTCTTTCTCTTTCAAGAGAGCATGAGAACAAATAAATGAGAAATGATTTAAATGGTGCAGGCAATTCTGCCCACCAACTCACTCAATAAGCATATGCGCCTAAGGGGTATGTGACTAGAGATGCCAATCGACCGTTCCCCCTCTTGGTTACATGTGCTATTCCTTTGGTTGGAATGTGTACCCCGTGGTACTGAAAGCACACACATATTGCTGCATTGAGTGTATTTTTCATCCAACATGGCTCCAAATACAAGCCAGCTACTTCCTCAGGGCTCAATTTAAGAAATAGCAATTCATCTCAACATTGGAGAAAAAACTGAGAGATGAAATGTGGCCTCTTCTCTGGTGCCTTCCTAAGGGGTTTTAAAGGGTAATTTTGACTACATGTGTTTTTTTTTTGTTGTTGTTGTTGTTGTTTTTTTTTGAGACAGAGTCTCACTCTATTGCCTGGGCTAGAGTGAGTGCTGTGGTGTCAGCCTAGCTTACAGCAACCTCAAACTCCTGGGCTCAAG